CGTGTGCATGTGTGAGTGTGCGTGCACATGCTTAGTGTCCATGTGTGAATGTACACGTGTGCATGTGTGAGTGTGCGTGCACATGCTTAGTGTCCGTGTGTGAATGTACACGTGTGCATGTGTGAGTGTGCATGCACACATACGGCTTCTGTGTGAATGGACATGTGTGCATGTGCTTGGTGTCTGTGCATGACTGTACACGTGTGAGTGTGTGTGGCATCTGTGTGAATGTGTACATGTGAGTGTGTGTGCAAGCTTATGGCGTCTGTCTGAATGTGTACGTGTGAGTGTGCCTGCATGCGTGTGTTGACCCTGTGTGAGTGTGTGTACCCGCTTGGCGTCTGTGTGTGAATATATGCGTGTGTGAGTGTGTGCACCCGCTTGGCATCCGAGTGAATGTATGCATGTGTGTGTGTGCACCCACTTGGCGTCTGTGTGTGAATGTGTGCATGTGTGTGCACCCACTTGGCGTCTGTGTGTGAATGTGTGCATGTGTGTGCACGCACTTGGTGTCTGTGTTTGAATGTAGGTGTGTGTGTCCATGCGCTTGGCGTCTGTGTGTGAATGTATGCGTGTGCATGTGTGTGTGTGCACCCGCTTGGCATCCGAGTGAATGTATGCATGTGTGTGTGCGCACATGCTTGGTGTCTGAGTGTGAATGTCTCTGTGTGCATGTGTGTGCACCCCCGTGGCATCTGTGTGTGAATCTATGCGTGTGTGTGCACACGCTTGGGGTCTGAGTGTGCGCGTGTTTGGTGTCCGTGTGTGAATGTACGCTTGTGCACATGTGTGTATGGCGTTCGTGTGTGAATCCTATTTTGAATGTGCGAGTGTACATGTGTGAGTGCCTGCATGCATGTGGCATCTGTGTGAGAATGTATATGTGTGCGTGCGTGTGCAGTGTCTATGTGAATCTACATGTGCATGTGTGAGCGTGCCCGCATGCGTGTGGCGTCTGTGAATCTGTGTGTGTGCATGTGTGAGCGTACCTGTATGAGTGTGCATGCGCACTCGTGGCGTCCGTGCACGCGCAGTCTGAGGAGGCAGTGACAGTGGAGTTCGGTGTAGGTGTTGGTTCTTGCTCTAATGCTCTGTCCATCTGTCGGAGGGCAGGTCGGGGACGAGGCGACAGTGGATTTTACCAAAGAAGTATTGAAGACACGGAAGTGGGATTTGGGCGCAGCGGGAGAGAGATTCACCGCAGCCAGAGCTGGGACGACAGGTATTTCTCCCCTTTTTTTACTCCTTTGCCATCTCCTCTCTTCCTCTTCCTTGCTCTTTGCTCATGTGCTTTCAACCCTTCACCCCTCCCATCCCTCCCTTACTCCTTCTTTCACACTCCTGCACCCACTGATGCTGTCCTGCCTTGTGCCTCTCACTGCCCCCCTGGTGCCGGACTTGTTTCTGTAGGCTGCTTCAGGGTTGCACTGGAATACAGCAGTACAACACCAGTTTAGAAACTGCAGGGCTGCTACCTCGGGTAAAGCCCAGGGGGCTGGTGGAAAGCAGAATGACTAACTTCACTCTGTGCTGTGTCCTTCCACCCCTGCAGAGGAGAGAGGAGGTTCGAGAAGCCCATCAGAAGAGATGGAGGTGAGGATCGCCCAGGGTCTTGATTTGTAGAGTGTTCCCTTGCTCTGTTGGTGCCGGCCGTATTAAGCTCTCCCCCTCCCACCCCCACAGTGCGTGTCGGGTTCGAGGAGGCGGGCCCTGGGCTCAGGAAGGAGTACACGCGTTCGGACAGCGAGAACTGGCGCACGCTGAGAGAGGAGCACGAGGACGAGGAGGGCGCTGAGCCTGGGGGCAGCTGGAGACTGGCCGGGTCACGCAGAGATGGTAAACACCTGCCATTTTAAGCACAGCCCAGTAAACACTGCCCACAGGGCACAAGCACTCACTGGGTGCACGGAATGGTGGGCATCAGTACACGCTGGCTACAGGCACTTATACACACTGGCTGTGCAGTGCGGTGGGCACCGGTGCACAGTGGCAACAGGGCACAGCACTCACCGAACACACAGCGTGGCAGGTACACGCATAAACTGGTCATGGGGTGGCACAGTTACACATTGGCCACACATTGTGGTGGGTACTAATACACACTGGTAACAGGGCATGGACACACACTGGCCGCATAGTGTGGTGGGCACCAGTAACACTGGTCACTGGGGCACAGGTACACACTGGCTGTGCGGTGCGGAGGGTACTAGTACACGGTGGTCACGAATACACTGGCCTTGAGGTGGGTACTGGTACGCGGTGGTCACGGACACACTGGCCGCGTGGTGCAGAGGGTACTGGTACGCGGTGGTCACGAATACACTGGCCGTGAGGTGGGTACTGGTACGCGGTGGTCATGGGCACACTGGCCACGCGGTGCGGAGGGTACTGGTATGCGGTGGTTGCAGGCCACATGTAAACACTGGCTGTGTGGTTCGGTGGGTACCGTGGATACTGGTACACGGTGGTCACAGACACACTGACTACACAGTGCTGTGGGCACTGGTACACACTGGTCACAGGCCATGCCCCCTGAGCTGGGCACTGACTCATGCTTGACTGTGTGCTGTAGACACACACTGTAATAATACTGTGCTGCATACAGCTTGCTTCTAGCATCAGCAAGAGTGCAGCGGACATGCAGAGACAGTCAATGCAGTGCTCTGAATTCTTTCTCGCTCTCCGTCTCCTCACCTGTGTGCATCTCTGGTCGCTCCCCGCCTCCCCCCCTCTCTGGGTCTCTGCCTGTGGCTCTATCTGTAGGTGTCTCACTCTGCCCCTCGCTCTCCCTCCCTCCTCCTCTCTCTCGCTCCCTGTCAGACGGCGGCCCTCGCTCCGCGGGCTGGCGCGAGCACGGCGGCGAGCGGCGCCGCAAGTTCGACTTCGACTTCCGGGAGCACGGGGAGGGGCGGCGCCGCAGCGACAGCATGGAGGATGAGCGGGACGGCTTGCCGGAGTGGTGCACGGACGACGAGGACGGGGAGATGGGCACCTTCGACTCCTCCGGGGCCTTCCTCTCCATTAAGGTACCCGGGGCCTCCGCCTTCTCTCTTACCGTCCTCCTCCTGCCGGACTTTCCCCACACCTCTCTTCCCCCTCTTTCTCCGTCCGTTTCGGTAGAAGGGCTCGAAGGATCCGATCCCCGAGGAGCAGGAGCTGGAGTTCCAGGGCCTGGAGGAGGAGGAGGAGGAGCCCAGCGAGGAGAGGGAGAGGAAGGACAGCAGCTCAGAGAGAGGTACACGCCGAGCATGAGAGAGAGATGAGCGGAAAGAGAATGGGCAAGCCAGTACCCCGTCGGAACCTGGTTCTAGACCTACTGCCCTGTAGGAGGCGCCGTCCTGCAGACGGGACGTTAAACTGAAGTCCCAGCAACTTCGATCGTTAAATATCCTGGGGCAATGTGTAAAAGTAGGGATGAGGACTTTGTACAGGCCCAAAGCAGGATCTCACTCCAGTCAGGCCCCTCTGCATCTTAACTTCAGCTGGCGAAGTAGTTCCTCCCAGCTCCCCTTTGGGGTGTGCGGTGGGCTGCTGTGTGAATGAAGGGGTCCTCCCCTGTATGCGAAGAGCTCTGGGGTCCTCTGGGCTGAGAGAGCCGTTCCTTTCCAGTTCTGCTGCGGTTGCATGGGAGGAGGGAGTGTGGTGGGGTGATTGCGGAGGCGGGTGCTGTTCACAGAGGCTGAGGGTGGTCTGGCCGTCCGCTGACTCTCTCCCCCTCTCTCTCCGCTGGCCCGCCTGCGCTGCTCTGCAGAAGCGAAGGAGGGCGTGGTGATGTCCGAGGGAGAGGTGAAGGTCACCGCCCCCCCCTCGCCCCCGGCTGTCTCGGCTAACGCTGCTGCCGCTGCGGCTCCCGCCACCGGCACCCCCCCAGCGGTAACAGAGGCCCAGCCCGCGTCCCTGGGGCTGCCCTCTCCGGACGCGGACACTACCCCATCCCCTGGGCTGGGACCGCACCCCGCCAGACCCAGCAAGACGAGCGGCGAAGGTACGGACGCGCCCGCCTCTGTTGAGTGCCGTTCTGCCCTCGGGGGTCCCGCGGGGCCTTGAGTCAGTCCGCCTCTCTGGCCGCAGGAGGAGTGTACTGGGGTGTTGAGCACTGCGTTGCACAAGTAAGCTGCGTGCTGCTGTGGTCCGTTCCGTGAGTTTGAAATGCGTTGAGCGTGGGCAGAGACGTCCCGCGCTGTGCATGTAAGGGTATGCAAGTTTGGATGCTGAACGCTTTTGGTGTCACTTTGATTTGATAAAGTATTGGCCACTGTTGGTCTAAACAGCAGGTACAGGGACACGAGGGCCAAACCCGCCCACTGACGTCAAACTCTGCTCTTGTGTTTTTGTGTGAAGATAATTCGCCAGTAGGGGGCACTGCCCAGCTGAGTCCTGGAACCTCCTCCACCCTCTCCTCCTCCCCCCCTTCCTCCTCTGCTGCTATTGAATTCCCTCAGGGAGGGGACACCGAGGATGATGAAGGGATGAAGCACCTGCAACAGGTAGGTGGGCTGTGGCGCCCCTGCGTGTCTACTGTGGGTCGAGGGGTTTCTGCCTGGACGTGTGACCCGTGTGCTGCACAAGCCGCCAGCGACCCTTGGCCACGCCATTGTCGCCGGGAGATGGACCTAAATGTTTTTGGCGTCACTTAGATTTATTGCTGACGGCTGGTGGTCAAGTGATATGCCACTGTGGCGTGAGAACTAGGTCTCGTGTCAGTCCTGGTGAAAATCAAGAGAGAAAAGCTCAGAAGGGAACCACTATAACCCTTACTGATCAACAGAGCAGCACCTCGTGGGAGGCTGGGTTAAGTCTGCGGACTCTCCCTGCGTGCGAGATCTGCCCGGTGGTGATGGGCCGTGGTCTGGGAGACGGAGTTAACGTTAACCCGGGTTTTCTCTTGCGCAGGAGGCGGAGAAGATGGTGGCCTCGCTCCAGGACACGTCTCTGGAGGAGGAGTGCTTCACGCAGACGCTGCAGGAGAGCAGGAACACTGCCGCCGCCCTGCCGCTGTCGCACGAGGCGGCCATGAAGTGGTTCTACAAGGACCCGCAGGGAGAGATACAGGGTAAACTGCTACACACTGTACCGGGGGGGTCTCCGGCCCCCGGGCCAGTCAGTGCTGGGGGGTGTCTCCGAGATGCAAAGAGCAGATACTAAGACCTTTTACGTACAAGAGGGTTTTCAGAAAAGTAAGAAGTTCTTGGCAGTGTTGGTGTGGGGGAGGAGATGTGCTTCTGCGTGTCTGTGTTACCTGTGTGAAAACCTCCGCTGCTCCAGGCTGTAACTTCCTGCTTCCCTGCCCCTCCCCAGGCCCCTTCACCACGCTGGAGATGTCGGAGTGGTTCCAGGCGGGCTACTTCACCATGACCCTGCTGGTGAAGCGCGGCTGCGACGAGGGCTTCCAGCCGCTGGGAGAGGTCATCAAGATGTGGGGACGAGTGCCTTTCGCTCCTGGTCCGTCGCCCCCACCCCTGCTGGTAGGACCTCAGCAGGGCCGTCTGGGGCTCCGCATCTCTCTCTCTGTTGCGTGTGGATCTGCCTTTCCGCTGCGTGCGTGAAAGGACAGTGTCAGGGCAGGAATTTAACAGCAGGAATACAGGAGAGTGTGGCACAGGAGAGGTGGGTGTGTGAGAGTGTTACAGGAGGGTTTATGGACCAGGAGGGGTGTGTGTGAGTGTTACAGGAGGGTTTATGGAC